ATATATATATATATATATATATATATATATATAACTAAGTAATTTTATGCTTATAACAAAAAATATCTGCCAATCTTAAAAGGAAAACGATAACCCTACTAGCAGATATTTTTATTAATTTTGATCAACTTCTCAGGATATTCTTATATTCCGTCATGTTGCAGGTCAAGTAAATGTCCCTTGATTTAGGAATGTTTTGATATTTGTACTGCAAAACAAGACAGAAATCCTGCAGCTTTCTTCCTCGTCTAAAGCTGATTTGAGGCTCTGTTCCAACCTCAGTGAGCTCCCTAACTAGTCAGCATCTGTAGTAGGCATCTCACCGGTGAGCAGCTCGATCCAGCAGGCCACGTTCTCCGGCGGCTCGGTGCTCTTGATGTGCTTCAGCGCTTCATCCAGCAGCACATCACCTGTGGGAGCGGAGGACTTCACCAGCACCTGCAAATAAAACAACACACACACAGCATTCACTAACAACTCTATCTGAAACAAAAACTAGTCAAAGCTGTACAGACACTAAAAAAACTACTAAACATCACAAAACAACTACAGTTCTAAAGCGTTACAATTTAAATGAAAACAGAATGTAACAATAAAAACTGTTGTATTTTGTTTTTATTGTTACAGTTACAACATTATCACAATGACACTAAAATAGCACTGATTGAAGTATTGTCAATTTATTTATTTTTTAACACCATATCATCAACAGAGGCTATTTTCATGAAGAACTAGATAAAATAATAATAATAATAATAGTTATAAGAAAAATAGAGAAAATTATATAAAAAAAACCTTCATATATTCCTTACAACAATATAAAAAATATAGCAATTATATAAGCTCCTTCTGTTTCACTTCTGATAGAAAATCTAGAATTTTGCCATTTAAAAAAAAATGCCCATTAGTTATTTTTTAATAAAACCATGCAATGCCAAATTTAATTTAAAGCAGGACTTTACAATCTGTGTTATTTTAGTGTCATTGATATGCCATTATAGCTTTTATTCATATTTTTTATTCATTTTTATTTTAATATTTTCCATTTCCATTTTAATCTTAGTTAGTTTTAGTAATTTTTTGTGCTTTTGTCATTTTTATTAGCTTACTATTAATATGTCCATACATTTCAGTATGTATGGACATATTAATTTCAGTTTTCCAACAAATTTCAGTTTTACTTTAAATAAAAATGAGAAATGTTGCCTTGGCAGTTTGCTTAAATATATATTTTTTACTATTTTATAAAATATTCTATTTTATTTTATTCCAGTTCAAGTTTTTTTTATTCATTTTTTAATTTAATTTCATTTATTTAGTTTTATTTAAATATAATAACCCTGGTTTCAATAAATTAGTAAGAAATTAATGTTGTTGTTTTTTATTAGTAATTTTTTGTGCTTTTGTCATTTTTATTAGCTTACTATTAATATGTCCATACATTTTTTATTTCAGTTTTACTTTAAATAAAAATGAGAAATGTTGCCTTGGCAATTAGCTTAAATATTTATATTTTTTTAACTATTTTATAAAATATTATATTTTATTTTATTCCAGTTAAAGTTGTATTTATTTAATTTAATTTAATTCGTTTAGTTTTAACTATAATAACCCTAGTTCCAATAAATTATTCCAAAAAATTAATACTTGACATCTTGCATTCACAGTTTGACCATTTCTATTTTCAAATTGAAAACAGCAGACTGTTCATTTATAATGGGCTTCACTTCAAATTATCTGTTTGGGACACATTCATTCCATTCGCAAGTAAAGTTACACAAATGAAAGTCATTTTAAAAATACCCTAATTTTTCAGTGTGTAAATGATTAATTCTATAGTCTGGGTGATACAGTGACGTCTGAAATGGACCAAAAGGACTAATTTAAGCACAGAATGATCTTTATTGTCTTGACAGGGTTGTGTCAGTTGCACCTGTGTCTTCATTATGAGCTTCAGTCTGGTTCAACTCGTTATTTAACTCCATTATCAATTATTTAAACCTCAAAGACTGTTGAACAGAGATAGGTGTGTTTTCAGAACAAGAGAAATGTGAATGCTGTAGACGTCAGACGTGACGTTTGCATCAATGTTTAATGAGTGCAATGCAAATCAACTCTTCCAGCAGCAGTGAGACACTAACGAGCGTAACGCATCCGGTCGGGCCGGTTTGGTTTCGTCGACTGATTCGGACGCTTCACACACCCGCTGCTGTTTGCCATGAGAGATAAGGTGTGTGTTTAACTTGGGGAACATTTGCATCCGTGTTCTGGAGCTGCTAAAACACTTACACTTAGTTACACTTCCACTGCAGCCAAACTAAAGTTTCTGAAAGAGTCTCTTCTGCTCACAGAGGCTGCGTTAATTTGATCAAAAATACAGTAAAAATTGTGAAATATTTTTACAATTTCAAACAGCTGTTGTCTAAGTGTATATCTGTTAAACTGTAATGTATTTCTGTGATGCGCAGCTGTATTTTCAGCATCATTACTCCAGTCTTCAGTGTCACATGATCTTCAGAAATCAGTATAATATGTTGATTTGAAACATTTCTGATTATCATCAATGTTGAAAACAGCTTTAAAAGACACTTTTATTTGGCGAGGATGCATTAAATTGATCAAAAGTGACAGTAAAGACATTTATAATGTTAGAAAATATTTCTATTTCAAATAAATGCTGCTCCTTTGAACTTTCTATTCATCTGTGAATCCTGAAAAACCAGTTTCCACAAAAACATTCAGCAGCACTATAAGTAGCAAGTGATATTATATACTGTTCGTTTATAATTTGTGCTTTGGCAACACTGTAACATGCGGACATGCCAAAAAAGCTAATACAAATTGAATACAAGTCTACGAAGTCGATGTGGAAAAAAGTGAGACTTTCCTCAAGTCTCTATATCTTTATCTACTGAGTTTCTCTTCTGAGTTTCTCAATGCAAAAAATGAATGCTCATTCTCTCTGGAATATCTGATTGTGAAATCTATTGTAATGTAGCATATCACATCAACACTTCCGTACAGCTGCTTGTGGATTGGTTTCATAATTGGTGAATTCTGCAGCATTAGCACCGTTTATTTCTTGTGTAAAGCGCTACAGAAACACGTGAGGCTTGTCTCGACTGGCTCACCTTGCGGTGCAGTAGTTTTCTCTTGCGTGAGCTCTGCGGTTCGAGCTGAATGCGTCCTCTCAGCGCCAGCTCCACCAGAATGCAGCTGCGCAGGCCTGACGAGATGCTGTCGTTCCAGAACGACGTGTAGCCCTGCGTTCACATCAAACACAAGTCATCATGAGATATGAAAAACCTACAGATTACAAGCTTTGCCACTTGCTTTTTCTCTGCCGTTCAGTTTAAGCAACCCTTTTTTATTGAGCAAATAAAGGAAGAACATTTCATACTGGGCACTAAATCACAATGTTGTAGTTATAGAGCTTATATAGTTCATAATACTGCAATATATGACACTGAATAATAAAGTACAAGCATGAGCTGCACCACGCTGATGTCTCAGCTGTGACCTCAAGCAAGCAGCTTGTGCAGCAAACCAAGTTATTATTTGTGCAATAAAGTGGTTGCTTCTGTAAATAATTAAACGAGTCAAACGAGCTGCAAGCAGAGAAACTGAAGGCTTGCATGCTGTTCCCACAGATGATAGATAAACATGTTTTCCAGTGTTGTTTGGTAATGTTGGGTTTATGTTTTACGAGGACTCTATAGACGTAATTACGGTGGCCGAGAAGTGCTAAACAAATCACAATTCTGAAAACAAAATAACAAATTACAAACGCAAATGCAAGTCTAAAAAACAAAATAACAATTCAGAAAACATTATAACAAGTCAGAAAACACAACGACAAATCAGACAAACCGGAAGAGGTAGGTATAGTTTGAGACAGCGCCATTGGTTTGGGATTACTCACCGCTGACTGGACGAGACATCTGTCAATCAACGTATACAGGGAGGAACCAGCGGAAGAACAGCAGAGTCGTGGTAGAAAGTTCGGAGATGGTATTAAAGTAGCTCAGTTTAAATGTATTGTATGAATTGCCCTTACTCTGGAATAAAGAATACTGGGTATCTATTTACATTTAGTTAAAAGTGGCTGTAAATCATCAGCTCCAGTGGCGCAGATGGATAAATGCGTGCCCTTGGCTTTTTCGACGCGATCGACCCGGGTTCGATCCGCCTTTTGCCAAACTTTTTTTCCCTCCCTTTTCAAATCTCGTATCACATCGTAAAGGCATTTATTTTCTTTTTTAGACTTGCATTTGCGTTTGTAATTTGTTATTTTGTTTTCAGAATTGTGATTTGTTTAGCACTTCTCGTCCACCGTACGTAATGGATTTTCTATCTCCTTACCCAAACCTTCCATCTAAACCACCACAAAACTACAGGCATTTTTACTTTTTTTATAAAATAGTTTATTATGGTTTCAAAGCTATTTAAATTATGAAATGTTCACATAAAACACGTTTATGTACCAGTGTAATACACTTGTCATTATACAAATCTGTGTCCTCATAAATCACATAAACATGAACACAAACACACACACACACACACACACACACACACACAGACACACACACACACTCACACACAGACACACATATAGAGACACACAGACACACTCACACACAGACACACATATAGAGACACACAGACACACTCACACACAGACACACATATAGAGACACACAGACACACTCACACACAGACACACATATAGAGACACACAGACACACTCACACACAGACACACATATAGAGACACACAGACACACTCACACACAGACACACATATAGAGACACACAGACACACTCACACACAGACACACATATAGAGACACACAGACACACTCACACACAGACACACATATAGAGACACACAGACACACTCACACACAGACACACATATAGAGACACACAGACACACTCACACACAGACACACATATAGAGACACACAGACACACTCACACACAGACACACATATAGAGACACACAGACACACTCACACACAGACACACATATAGAGACACACAGACACACTCACACACAGACACACATATAGAGACACACAGACACACTCACACACAGACACACATATAGAGACACACAGACACACTCACACACAGACACACATATAGAGACACACAGACACACTCACACACAGACACACATATAGAGACACACAGACACACTCACACACAGACACACATATAGAGACACACAGACACACTCACACACAGACACACATATAGAGACACACAGACACACTCACACACAGACACACATATAGAGACACACAGACACACTCACACACAGACACACATATAGAGACACACAGACACACTCACACACAGACACACATATAGAGACACACAGACACACTCACACACAGACACACATATAGAGACACACAGACACACTCACACACAGACACACATATAGAGACACACAGACACACTCACACACAGACACACATATAGAGACACACAGACACACTCACACACAGACACACATATAGAGACACACAGACACACTCACACACAGACACACATATAGAGACACACAGACACACTCACACACAGACACACATATAGAGACACACAGACACACTCACACACAGACACACATATAGAGACACACAGACACACTCACACACAGACACACATATAGAGACACACAGACACACTCACACACAGACACACATATAGAGACACACAGACACACTCACACACAGACACACATATAGAGACACACAGACACACTCACACACAGACACACATATAGAGACACACAGACACACTCACACACAGACACACATATAGAGACACACAGACACACTCACACACAGACACACATATAGAGACACACAGACACACTCACACACAGACACACATATAGAGACACACAGACACACTCACACACAGACACACATATAGAGACACACAGACACACTCACACACAGACACACATATAGAGACACACAGACACACTCACACACAGACACACATATAGAGACACACAGACACACTCACACACAGACACACATATAGAGACACACAGACACACTCACACACAGACACACATATAGAGACACACAGACACACTCACACACAGACACACATATAGAGACACACAGACACACTCACACACAGACACACATATAGAGACACACAGACACACTCACACACAGACACACATATAGAGACACACAGACACACTCACACACAGACACACACACACACACACACACACACAAACAGATCAGCTCGACTCCATTCACTCCAGCTGAAAGAGATTTGAGACGCTCAACCGGATGAACCTGATTTTCGCAGAACAACACGAGAAGTATTTTTCAACCATTACACGACACTGCATGAGCTCCAGGACTGAAAGACTACCTGACCAGTCTTACCAGACGAGTGTGTGTGTGTGTGTGTGTGTGTGTGTGTGTGAGTGAGTGAATGAGTGTGTGTGTGTGTGAGAG